TTTGGTGGAGGAGGGCTCTATAACAAAGAGTATGCTAGTTGCTAGCCTAAGCCCCCAGTAACAGTGTTGCCCTTTCAGATTTTAATTAGTGGTTCTTTCATGATCTAGTGGTTGTCAGGGGTAGGATCAGTACTTAAAACATGAAGAAAAGTGGTGAGATTCAGAGTGCAATTTCCTCTGTCGTCTGCAATTTTGAAAATTGCACAGAAAGAAGGGATTGCATCTTCCCCTTTCTTTATTTTTCTTTCCTGAAGATTGAAGCTAAGACTTATTTTCCTTTTTAATCACTAATGTAAAAGTACACTAGTAAATTATGTTCAGTCACTAAAGACTTTAAACTTCTTGCCTCCTCCTCTCCTACTGTGTGAAACCATAGACATAGTTCTCAGAGAACAGAACAGTGTATTCATATTGATTCTGGGAATTAAAGTAGTACCAATGGCAATTACTCTCTTTTCTTTACTTGCATGCTTGCCTCATTCACCTTGAAAGTAATAATTTGATGGGCTGGGGATGTGGCTCAAGCGGTAGCGCGCTCGCCTGGCATGCGTGCGGCCCAGGTTCGATCCTCAGCACCACATACCAACAAAGATGTTGTGTCCGCCGAAAACTAAAAAAAATAAATATTAAAAAAATTCGCTCTCACTCTCTCTCTCACTCTCTCTCTCACTCTTTTTTTTAAAAAAAAAATTAGAAAGTAATAATTTGGGTTCCAGAAAAGATCACCTCTTTTCTTTTCTTTTTTTTTTTTTTTTTTGAGAGAGAGAGAGAGAGACAGACAGACAGAGACAGAATTTTTTAATATTTATTTTTTAGTTTTCCGGTGGACACAACATCTTTGTTTGTATGTGGTGCTGAGGATCGAACCCGGGCTGCACGCATGCCAGGCGAGCACGCTACCGCTTGAGCCACATCCCCAGCCCCAAGATCACCTCTTTTCTGTCTCACCACTTTAAAAGGTTGTTGTGGGTAGGTCCAAGTAACAGGATTCCTGTGTCACACTGTTGAACTGAATTATAGATTTGAATTTAGACACCCTTTCTGCAGCTGTCATTGTTGCTTTATAAGAAGTTTGAGTTTTGGACAGTGGTTCTGTAACTTTGCTGCATAAAGACTCCAGTGTTCTTTAAAAAACTCTGATGCCTGGCTCCCATCTCCAGGCAGATTAATTTAGTTGGTACTGGGTGAGACTTGGCACTAGGATTTAAAACACACACACACACACACACACACACACACAAACAAAAAAACACAACTCTAGGTGATTTTAATGTGAAGCATTCCCTTGGAAGAGACCAAAGACAGAAATGTATCCTTTTAGAAATCTTACTCACCTCTGTTAGTTTTGTTTGGAATTTCTTATGAAAATGAACCCTTAGATAAAATAGTTTTCAGGCAGCCTTGGGTTGCTTTAGGGAATGCATAGGGTCCTTTGAGCTGCTTAGCTCTTTCTCAGGTATAAACTGGCTCCCAGCCACCTTTTTATATTTAGCCCCATTTTTGTGGTGGGGATAGAACCCACGACTCCCATAAGATAAGCAAGGCTCTACCCCTGAGCTACAGCCCCAGCTCTCAGGCCATCTTTTCACTTGGAGACAGCTCCATGATATTCTGTCTTCCTTGGTAGTCTTTTTGGAATTCCCTAATGTGAGTGAGATTAAGTGCTCCCAACTTCTCAGATCTTTGCTAATCCCAAAGACAAAACCTTTTTATGTTTAATATTTTACTTTTCACTGTAAAAATATATAATAAACATTAACAAGTTTCAAAACATTAAATTCCTTACCATGATAGTCCCTGTAAAAATTCCTGACTTTCCCTGAGATGAGCATCTGCACTGCTTTCATTTTGTTCAGGGCAGTGCTGAGCATTCACAGTCCATACAGAGTCCAGGCTGCTAAAGCCTTTCAATCATGAAAGCCTCATTTCTGAGTGTGATTGTACAGTGATATAGAGCAATAAGGATCTCAGATCTAAGTATGCAACTGAGATCTTTGGCCCCTTCTATTGAGAATCAGTAAGTTTAAACTAGTTCCCAGAGACTTGTTCCTTGGGACTTATTCTTTTGGGGTCATAAGTTCATCAGCTGTTCCTCTGTCCTGTCTAGTACCTATGTTTGTTGTTGGTTCTACTATTTACTCTTTAAGACAGTGCACAGTGGTTAGAAGCTTTGACATTCTTAAGTTTGTTCCTTCTTGGAAAGTTTTACCTATTATAGATGAGGCTCCCTGGGTTTGACTATCCTTTTCCCTACTCCATCTCCAAACTTGGCCTACCAAATCTCCTTTTATCTTCCCAATGCTATTGTAGTCTTGGTATTTTCTACTTTAATGAGTCTTTGGAAAACCTATGAGTTCTAATGGGGCTAGACTTTCTATAAAGGAATAAGAACAGACTTTGAATGGATATATAGATTCTAAACTTTTGGACCTTTAGTTCTTACCAAGTTAAGGCAACTAAAGTCAGTTATCCCCGACAAAAATCTTAGGCAGGTTAATCTCTGTAAGCCTTAATTTGATCATCTTTAAGGGGAGAATAATAATACATACTTCAAGATATATAGGAGGAATATATTGAAGGAAGAATAATGTTAATATGTAAAACATTTATTTAATTTGGCGAATAAAGCAAAGTTTAATAATCCAATGTTGATTTAATAGTATTATTTTTTATAAGATATAAAGGAATTTATTCTGTGCATGGTAGCTAAAGAAATAAGTAGAAGAAACTTTGAAAAGGACTTAATTCCTAATTTTTAATGTAGTTTTTATTTGACTACAGCAATTATTATTATACTAATGGTATATCATGTTGTAGTGAGGTTTGGCAGGATAGTATACTTCAACAAAAAACAGATAGCTGTTGTTCAAACCTTGGAGCCCCAGAGTTTAGTAAAGATATATCAGAGATTGTGGGGTGGCCTGGTGGACTGAGTGGGAGTTTTCTGAGCAGGACAGGTGAATCAGCAGGGCAGAGAATTCCCATCTTATACATGCTTTATCACACATCTAATAGTGAAGTTCTTATTGTTTTTAGGCTGGGAATTGAACCCAGGGTTACTCTACCACTAAGCCACATCCCTAGCCCTTTGAAAAATTTTTTTTTAAAATTTTTATTTATTTTTTTTATTTTGAGACAGGGTCTTGCTAAGTTGCCAGGTAACTCTGAGTTACCTAGGTTGGCCTCTAATTTGTAATCTTCCTGCCTTATAAATTCAAATTGATGGGATTATAGTGTACCACTGTGCCCAGCTGAGAAGTTTTGACTGTGTGTATGTGTGTGTGTGTGTGTGTGTGTGTGTGTGTGTATATATATAAAACGTGACAAATATATATATGTATTTTGATATTTTGTATAGATTTTAAAATACCTTATTTTTAAAAAGTTTGAAATCATGTGCTCTAGGAACAAATTTCCAGAATAGAACTATAGTATCCCTGATCTCCAGTCTATGTGCTGCTCAGTAAATATTTTTTGAGTAAAAGTGATGGAATGCTCTGTAAAGTTACCTTTATAATGCATAGTGTTCATTTTTAGTCTTATCCTCAAACTAGGTTTTATTCAATTATGTGATCATTCCCTAGTAAGCAGATTAAAATTGGGATGTTTTGTTACAGGAAGTTAAAAAGTTCTTAAAGATTATTTTTAGTAAGCTGTGAAATATCCTTGTGAAATGCACTCCAGCCATTTGGTGTAATCAAATCTTTTCTTCACTGGACACTTTGGTGATACATATATGTCATTATTCTCCAGGTCTTTCTAGATTTAATGATGGTTACAATCTTTCTCTTAAAAAAAAAAAAAAAAAAAAAGTTGAAGTATAGTACATGGCATGTAGATCAGTGCCTAGCACTTGCCTGGGCTCAATTTCTAGCAACACACACACATACACACAGACACAGTTGATATATAATATTCTAATTTTTTTCCTTAAATTATACAAATACATACACAAATGAATACCTTTGTCATTTAAATTGTGGAATTGTAAGGGCGAGGCAGGAGTATCTCAAGTTCAAGGCCAGGCTTGGAAATTAGCAAAACCCTTAAAAAGGACTGTGGATGTAGCTTGGTGGTAGAGTGCTTACCTAGTATGTGCAAGGCCCTGGGTTCAATCTCCAGTACTGCACCATAAATAAAATAAAATAAATTGTAAGCCAGGAAATATGGGAAAATATTCTAACTTGTTTTAGCATTTGCCACACGTTTTTTTTTTTTTGGGGGGGGAGGGTACTGGGGGTTGAACTCAGGGGCACTCAACCACTAAGCCACATCCTCAGCCCTATTTTGTATTTTATTTAGAGACAGGGTCACACTGAGTTGTTTAGCGCCTTGCTTTTGCTGAGGCTGGCTTTGAACTCGTGATTCTCCTTCCTCAGACTCCCTCAGCTGGGATTATATCCTGGCCTGTCATACTTTTATAAGATATAAACTAAGAAATCATAACTTATTTTTCATCTTAGGTTGGATACTTCCTAGGGTTATCTTCTTCCCATTAGTTATATCTGCTAGTGACATTTTTAAATGTTAGCACACTTACGGAAATTCTTGTTAGACAGGCATTTTGATTTTAAATTTCTTTTATCTTATTTCTAATTTTTATTTGGCATTTACTTGTTTTTTTTTTTTAATTTATTACTTTTAAAAATAACGAGAAATAGCCTTTAGGTATTAGTTTGGTGATATATTTTTGAACAGATTTAGATCTCTTATAAGTCTTATTGTATGTCCTTGGTTTTAGTTAGAAATGAGAAGAAACCAAAGATTTTTGTAACCATGGTTGCATTTTTTCAGATATTTTCAATGAATTGACATTTATTTTTATTTAAATTTTGATAAGATATAAAATGAAACTGATGAAAGACCTCAAATCTTACTTAGTAGAGAGAAAGTTGTCAAGGAAAAAGATATTCTTCCAAATCAAAACTAGAGCATCTCTTTATCATTGTTTATTTTGTTGCTGATATAGACTAAAACTAATTGTCTTTTTTTCTTCTCAGTTTTACAGAGTTAATATAAGAGTGGAGGCAACTTTGCTGAAGATGAAGATTATACCATATTAGAAGAGTTTTTTTCTTTCAAAAGTCTTGATTGTTCGGAGGCTTATCTCCAGTTACTGCTTTTAAATCAAGTCTGTTTGCTTCATCAGAAATGTTTTTTACAATCTCAAGAAAAAATATGTCTCAGAAATTGAGTTTACTGTTGCTTGTATTTGGACTCATTTGGGGATTGATGTTATTGCATTATACTTTTCAACAACCAAGACATCAAAGCAGCGTCAAGTTACGTGAACAAATACTAGATTTAAGCAAAAGATACGTTAAAGCTCTAGCAGAGGAAAATAAGAACACAGTGGATGTTGAGAATGGTGCTTCTATGGCAGGATATGGTAAGATAACCACAGAATATTTCTGGTTTTCTCCTCTTTAGTCTATCCCCATTTAAAGATAGTCATGGAAATAGAACTTATTATTTCATGTATAAGTCTTAAAAATATATATCTTCATTTATTTATTTGTTTATTTTTATGTGGTGCTGAGGATCGAACCCAGTGCCTCGCATGATAGGCAAGCACTCTACTGCTGAGCCCCAGCGCCTGTCCCCATGTATAAATCCTTACAAAGTAACTGTTTCTTGACTGTTTATTAAAATTGTTTTCAGATGTACTGAAAAGTAGAGATATATTCATCACCCAGATTTGATAATTATTAACAGTTTGCAACATTTGTTTTGAAAAATATTAAAAGTAATTATAGGGCTGGGGCCATAGCTCAGTAGTTGAACAGTTGCCTCGCATGTGTGAGGGTCTGGGTTCAGTCCTTAGCACCGCATAAAAATAAACAAAAATATACAAAAAATACATTATAGAAATTGTGACATTTCACCACTAGGTTTGTACCTCTTTAAAAATATACATGTGTAAAAATGTTTGTTTGTATATGTAAATGTATATATTATTTATTTTGAGACAGGGATTCATCAGGTTGTACAGGTTGGCCCAGAACTTGTGATACTGCTAGCTCAGGATCCCGAGTAACTGGGATTATAGGTGTGTGCCACCCCCAGGTTTTATTTATGTGTGTGTGACATACACACACACACATATATATATATATATATATATATATATATATATATATATATATATATGTATGTATGTATTTTTAAAGTCACCTATTTAAATTATTTTGAATGTCCCAATTTTTATATAAATCATCAGTTGTGTAGAGTTTAAAGTTTATTTATCCCTAAGACACAGGATTTACATTGTTTATTGCCTGGGTTTGTTGTTTATTATCCTGGATTTCTGCTATATTTAAAGCTCCTTTTGCATGCCATATTCTCTTTCTGTGGGGTCAGGGGTGCTAACTCAGAAGAAAGAGAAGAATATAGAGCAAACAGAATGGTTCTGATACACTATGTATGTACATGAGTTTGTGGACAATTTCAGTATTTAATTATAAGTTACACTGGCATGTATTTCAAGAATCAAAATGTGAAAAAAAAAAAAGAATCAAAATGTGTTGATTCTTATAATGAAAAGGGCAGTTTTTCCCATTCTCAGCAGTCCTCAGATTTCCTCTTCCTTGGAGCCACCCATTAAATTTTTTTTCATTTATTTGGGGACTATCTCTATATCCAAATAACATGATGTATGAACCACTTCTTGATTTTTTTTAGTTATAGGCATTGTTTGTTAACTTTCTACCATGTAGGGTGAAGATTTAGCTTTCTTTTTAATCCCAAAATATATTCTACCCATCCCAAGGTTGCCTTCCCTGACACATGTCTTTTTCCTCCTGATATTTTACCTTCATAATTTTGGTTAGAATAATACTCACTGTTTGCACTGTGACTATTAGTGATATTCATTACTGAGCCATGTGGTACATTATCATATGTTTCCTTTCATGTAAAACTTAATTTTCTTCCTAGAAGTAATAATTACAGGTTTTTGTTTCTTTGCCTATTTTTATATTCCATCTCCCCAGAGTTACTTAAATCTTTTCCTGATGTATTCAGACACATTAGTATTCCATTACTTCCTTTATTTTGAAGGAATCTTTCCTGGCCAGGTATGGTGATACATACCTGCAGTCCCAAGTACTCAGGAGGCAGACACAGCAGGATTGCAGATTTGAGGCCAGTTTGGTAACTGAGAACCCTGTCTCAGAATAAAAAAAAGGGTTGGGGATATAACTCAGTGGCATTATAGCCCCTAATTCAATCTCTAGTACTGCCAAAACAAAAGAAGTCTTTCCTGGAGTTTTCTGATCAGCTCAGTTCTGGTCTGAACTGCTTGTTCTCTAGGCTTGAAGCATGAATTGTTCTAAGATCTCACTCGGTCATCATTCTGTATATTCTCTTTACTCCTCTCTTAATGTTGTATCCCCTATTTTCTAGAATTCTATAGCGTCTTCCTGATTTTAGGTTATCCCCTTTCTTGAGAAAGGTATAAGGGAGATAAAGTTTTGAGTTCCTTGTATATCTGGAAAGGTCTTTCCCCCCCTGCAAACCTTCATGCTTAATTGAAAATTTGGCTTGGTAAAGAATACTAGGCTGAAAATTATTTTCCTTAAGATTATAAAGACTATTCTGTTTTGTGTTTTTCCATCCCATCTTCCATTTTTAAGAATTGAATCCTGTTCTTATTCTTCAGCCTTTATATATAACTTATTTTTTGAAGCTTACATTTTTAAAAATTATTTTTAATTGTAGATGGATGCAATACCTTTATTTTGTTTATTTTTATGTGGTGCTGAGGATTGAACCCAGTGCTTCACATGTGCTAGGGAAGCACTCTACCAATGAGCTACAACAACAGCCCTGTAGCTTACTTTTTTGAAAGTAAGGTTTTTGTTGCATACTGTTCTGAACTTTCTCAATTATCTGTCTGGATTGGGTATCTTTGTATATATCTTGGGAACTCAGTTTATATTTTAAAATCTGCAACTTATGTCATTTAATTCCAAGATATTTCTTAAATTATTTATTTGATTTTAAAAAAATTTTATTCTAGAATTCTGTTATTTAGCATTTGGGCTCCCTGAACTTGTCCTCTAATTTTCCTTTTTTATTTTTGGTGCTGTACTTGGAATTTAACCCAGGGATGCTCTAGAACTGAGCTCTATCATCCAAGCCCCTTTTAATTTCTATTTTACTTTATTTTATTTTTTTTGAGGGTGACTAGGATTGAACCCAGGGTCTTACACATGCTAGATAAATGTTCTGCCATTGAGTTACATCCCCAGCACATTTATTCTTTTTCTTCTATTTATCCGTTTGCTTTATTTATTTTTTATGTGTTTTTTTTTTTTTTTTTTCCGCACCTGAGATTGAACCCAGGGGTGTTTAGCCACTGGTGGCATCCCCATCCCTTTTTTATATTTTATTTAGAGACAGGGTCTTTCGAGTTGCTGAGGTTGGCTTTGAATTGGTGATCCTCCTGCCTCAGCCTCCCAAGCTGCTGGGATTACAGATATGCATGACTGCGCCAGCCCTTTTGCTTTATTTTTGAGAGATTTATTTTCTAGCTCTTCATGGAGCTTTATTTTCAATTTCTAAGAGCTCTTTTTTTTTTTTTTTCCCTCTCTGAGATTATTAGTGGCAGCTTTTTTGGAGTGCTTTTGTGTTTCTTCCAAATGTCTGATGATCCCTTTTGCCAATAATTAATCCCTTAAGTCCCAAGTTTTCAATTCTGTTAGTATTTCAGCAAAATTGACACAGGTACATTAACATAGGTTATAAGTCATAATCTAGAGTTTATATTTTATGTTAATGTTATATTATAGTTTTTAATAATAAAATTATATGGTTGTGTAGTGTTTACATATTTACTTTTTGAGGTTTAAAAAAATTTTTTATTTGTTATAATTAGTTATACCATAGTATATATTTATTTAGTAAGGTTTTGCGGGTTTTTTTTTTTTTTTTTTGTGTGTGTGTGTGTGTGTGTTGCTGGGAATTGAACCTAGGGCTTCCTGCATGCTAGGCAAGCATTCTACCACTGAGCTACATCCCCAGCCCTATTTAAATTTTTATAGGTGTTCCATTTCTGGGACAATGGGACAAAATTGATTAAGAATGGGATATTAAAAAGTTGATGGAAATACTGAATTGTTGGGTGGTATTCACTTTAAGATAATCTAGAGGGAATATTTCTTTAGTTATAGCTTTAATATTTAAATGACTTCTGATACCAACTACCTGGAGTTAGCCAAATTTCACAGGTTAAGGGCACAGTCCTCCATATAACTGCCCTCACTTTAGAAACGAGCCACAAGGCTGAATATCCCCAAGTCACCCTTACTCCTGACCGTCTCACTACAAATTCAGGCTTTACCGTTCCCTCATGTTTGATAGTTTGATAGAACCACTCACAGAACTCAGTTACTGTGCTGCTTATAACAGTGGTATTATGCAAAAGGATACAAACCAAACCAGCCAAAGGGAAATACACATGGGACAAGGTTTGGGAGGACTCCAGATACAGTTTCTATTGACTTATCTTCATGGAGTCAGTACACATAACCCACCTGGCACATCAAGGCATATTAGGGTGTAATAACATGCATACTATTATTCAAATGTGGTGGCACACATCTGTAATCCCAGGCCCCTGAAAAAATGAGGCAGGAGGATTGCAAGTTCTAGGCCAGTCTTGGCAACTTAAGTGAGACCCTGTCTCAAAAAATAGAGGGCTGGGATATAGTTCACTGGTGGAGTGTTCCTGTGTCAGTCTCTATCCTGGGAAAATTGCAGAATATTACCGACTAGGGAAGCTTGCTCAAACTTCCAGGTGCAGGGTTTTTATTGGGGTTTTGTTGTATAGGTATGATTGATTGAATCATTGGTCACGTGGATGAATTCAGTCTCTAACATTTCTTCGTTCCTGGAGGTCATCTGAAATCCTCAATCCTTTAATCACATCCTTGATTTTTCTTGGATGGTCAGCCACCATCCTGAGTTATCTTATTAGATAATTATTATCTTATTTGTAGATATTAATACAGAAGATCTAGGGGCCTATTTTGAGTCATCTCCTCAATGTAAACTAACAGAATGTGTCTCAGGGGCCTACCTTGACTAACAAAGACGTTCATCAATTAGGAAATTGCAAGTACTTGGTGGCTACCTCCCAGGAACCAGAGACAAAGACAAACTAAATTCTTTATTATATGATACTGTAGTCTACCCTTTTCCATGGTTTCACTCTATATAGTTTTAGTTACATGTGGACACAGTTCAAAAATATTAAATGGAAAATTTCAGAAATACATCTTAAGTTTTAAGTTGCATTTATCATTCTGAGTAGCATGATGAAATCTCATGCCATCCCATTCCATTCCTCCCAGGATGTGAATCATCCTTTTGTCCAGTGTATCTACTTTGTGTACACTACCTTCCTGTTAGTGTAGCCATCTTGGTTATCAGTTCAACTGTTGCATTAACACTGTGCTGCTTCTGTTCAATTCATTTTTATCCTACTTTTTGTGGGTTTTTTGCTGTGTGAATGTGCCATGCTGGGGATGAAACCCAGGACCTGTGTTTGCTAGGCAAGTGCTCTGCCACTGAGCTACATTCCCAGACCATTATTGGCCTCCTTATTCTTTTTTATTAATGACTTCAAAATACAAGATTAGTGAGGCTGGCAATTCACATTTGCCAAAGAGAAGCCATAAAGTGCTTCCTTTTAGTGAAAAGGTGAAAGATACAGATTTAGGAAAAAAAATGGTATGCTGAGATTGCTAAGATATATGGTAAGTTATTGTCATTAAACTTTTGCTGTGCTTAATTTATAAATTAAACTTTATTGTATGTATAGGAAAATACATCATATATCTAGTGTTCAGTAGTATCTGTGGTTTTTCAGGTATCCACTGGGGATTTTGGAATATATTCCCTGAGAATAAAGGGGGGCTATGTAAATTTTTTTAAATTTGGGATTATATCTAATATCAGTATATTTTAGTCCTTCCTGTTCAGCTAATCAGAAATCCTAGAAAAGTACTGTCATCTCTTGTTGGGGAATGTAGGCTTACAAGTGCTCTGGGATCTGAGTAGAGAAAAAAAGGCAGAATGAAGAAGGCTGGTTCAGCACTCACTATGTAGCTGTCCATTTACTCCCCCAGTTTTCACTTGGCACCCAGTGAAACTCAACTGCCTCACCCAATGTGAAAATACATCTCAGATCTTCTTCACTGGGGGAGGTTTTGGATAATGTAGAAAATTTAGGAAAATCAAATTGCTACATAAACAGATTTTCACACAGTCCTTTTTTAAGTTCTTTCTTTATCCTGTTTTCTGTAATACATGGCATAAAATTCCTGGGCATTTTGGGGATGGGATTCTGTGGGGAAAATTGGATTGCTTCTTGGCTTTTCCTACTTCTTGTTTAAAATTCATCCATTTTGGGTAAGCAATTTAGTATGTGAATGAGGTATTGGGAATTAGCATAGGTTAAATGCCTGTATTTGGTGTATCATCTTTACCTGGAAATGTACTGGACATTCTCTATATTTTCTTCTTTCCTTTATGATGATTTTCTTGATGTTATGAGTGTTGGTTTTGTATATGCTTTTGAGAATCAAATTTAAGGCTGGGGTGTGGCTCATTGGTAAAGCGCTTGCCTAGCATTTGTGAGGTTCTGGGTTCAATCCTCAGTACCACAGGCAAAGAAAGAAAGGAAGGAAGGAGGGAAGGAAGAAGGAAATGAAGGAATGTAGGTAAGTCTCGTGTCCATCTATAACTAAAAATATATTTTAAAAAATCAAATTTAGGTGATTAGAGATGAAGATGGGTATAAACTGAGATGGAGGTCCTTGTCTCTCTCTCTCTGTCACACACACACACACACATATACACACACACACACACACACAGACATTATATTGTTTTGCATTCTGTTTAGTTCAAGGATATGGTTAGAAACAATGAAGAAGCAGATTCTTACAGGAGAAATATTTGAAAGACAATTCCTTCTAGTTGAGCACAATAATAGTGATATTTTAAAAACCAGCCATCTGTAGCTGGGTGAGGTAGAAAAAGCCAGTAATCCCAGTGACTCAGGAGGCTGAGGAGGAGGATAGCAAGTTCAAGGACAGCCTTAGCAACTTAGTGAGACTCTCAGCAATTTATTGAGACCTTGTCTCAAAAATTGGGTTCAATCCTCAGAATCACACACACACAAAAAAGCAAAAACAAAACCAAATCTTCCTCCCACAAACCAACTATCTATGCTGTGCAATCCAGCCATGTATAATGGCTAGATACCTTTATGGAGAAAAAAAATAAATTACCAAGAAGCAAAGAGAGAGGACCACTGTTCGGATTTTTTTGTTTGTTTTATTGAGTGCTAAAAATTTTCTCATCCCCTTCTACTATTATATACCACTACTCTCCTGCTCCTTTTTGATATCTATTATTTATTCATTTTTAAAAATTTATGGTAAAATACTTAAAGCATTTGTCATTTAATTTGTGTGTGTGTGTGTGTGTGTGTGTATACACGTGTATGTATATGGTCCTAGGGATTGAACCCAGAATGCTCTACCACTAAACTGTATTCCCAGCCCTTATTATTTTTAATTTTGAGACAGGGTCTCACTAAGTTGCTGAGGATGACCTTGAACTAGTGATCCTCCTCCCTCAGCCTCCTGAGCACTTGGGATTATAGGTATGCAACACTGAGCCTGGTGACACTGAACCATTTTTAAGTTCATTGGTATTAATTATATTCACAATGTTGTGCAGCCATCACGATGCTTTTCTAAAACTTGCACTACTCCAAACAAGGAACTCTAATTACTATTAAGCAATAATTTTTTTTTTTTTTTTGGCATCCCTGGATGGGCCCAAACAGTAATAAGTTTTTATCCCTTCCCTTCCTCTGGCCCTTGATAATCTGTATTTTCTGACTCTCTGGAATTGCCTGTTTTGAATATACCATATAAGTGGAATCATAAAATATTTGACCTTTTGTGTCTGGCTAATTTCACTTTGCATAACATCTCCAAGGTTTATTCATGTTGTAACATAGATCAGAACATCATTTCTTTTATGACTGAATAATATTTTTTTATGTTTATTTTTGCACCAGGGATTGCATTCAGGGGCACTCAATCACTGAGCCACATCCCCAGCCTTATTTTGATTTTTATTTAGAGATAGGGTCTCACTGAGTTGCTTGGCACCTCATTTTTGCTGAGGCTGGTTTTAAATTGGCAATCCTCATGCCTTAGCCTCCCTAGCCACAGGGATTACAGGTGTGTGCCATTGTTCTGGTTTATTTACCACATTTTGTTAATCCATTCATCTGTGGTTGGACCTTGAGTTGTTTCCACCTTTTGGCTCTGGTGAATAAAGCTGCAATGAACATTGGTATACAACATTTCTTTTGAGTCCTTGCTTTCAATTTATGGGGATTTCTACCTAGGAGTGGAATTCCTGGGTCATGTGCTAATTTTATGTTTTTAACTTTTCGAGTAACTGATAAACTGTACCCACAGTTTATATTCCCACTAATAATATGTGAGAGTTACAATTTCCCTGCATCCTCCCTCTTCATTGATGAGATCCATCCTAGTAGAAGTGGTATCTCATTGTGGTTTTGATTTGCATTTTCCTAATAGGTGTTGGGTGTCTTGTCTTATCTTGTTAACCATCCATATCTTCTTTGGAGAAATGTCTGTTCAGTCTCTTGCTCATTTTTTTTTTTCTTGAAAGTATAATTTTACTTCATTTTTTCTCCCAGAGGATAGTTTTTCTTCAGTTCTTGAAGACTCAGCTTCTTACATGGGCTTTGTTGGAGGTTGTGGGGCAATACCTGCATGTCTAAATCTGGATGGGGTGTTCTGTCCTTCTGGGCTTCATGAGATCTATGATTCTTGACCACCTGGCTACAAATGGCACAACTCGGCACTGCTCACGTAGTAATATAGCTTCCCGTGCAGTTTGGGAAGCATATAGGCATTGAGGACACTGAAGACATGTCCTGATATCTGCAACATCTGCTATGTTTCAAACTTCTTAATGGCTTTTGTTCTTGGACACAGAATCTAGTGCAGTCCATGCTACTGAATTGTCTATACTTGTCTGTGGCATTTTTTGACACAACCTTGTTCCTTTTGGCTTTTGGTCATCTTGCAAGTGAGAACTCAAGACCTTTGCTCATATATTAAATTGGGTTATCTTTTGTTACAGAATATATTTATATGTTCTGGATAGCAGATCGAGAGAGAAAGAAAATTTTTAAAAATATTTATTTATTTATTTATTTTTGGTTTTCGGCGGACACAACATCTTTGTATGTGGTGCTGAGGATAGAACCGGGGCCGCACGCTTGCCAGGCGAGTGCGCTACCGCTTGAGCCACATCCCCAGCCCGTCTTTTTGCTTTCTTGATAATGCCCTCTAATGTCCCAAAGTTTTAGATTTCGATGAAATCTGATTTATAGTTTTTAAGTCTTTATGAAATCTGATTTATCTCTTTTTTTTCATTTGTGGCTTTTTGTTTGTTTGTTTGTTTCAGTACTGGAGATTGAACCCAGGGCCTTAGCATATGCTAGGCAAGCACTCTACTACTGAGCTATATCCCCAGCCTTTGGCTCAAGCGTTTTCTCTCTTTGTAACAGAACTATCTGCAAATATCTGCTCTATTACCCTAGAAAAGTGAGAGATGCCCTCATAGTTACACCTCGGACACTCCTTTTGGAAACTCTGTATGTGATGCTGTGAATTAAGATAATTACGCTTTCTCTAGGAGTGGTATGAATGCATTTTTCAGTATATTTTCTCTCAGATCTCTAATAACTGTTCACCTTTTCTCTTAAACTATAAAAACACAAATATCAAGTACTCTATCAATGTTTAATATGGTTTATTCTGATTTTTCCTCCTAGCGGATCTGAAAAGAACAATTGCCGTCCTTTTGGATGATATTTTGCAACGCTTAGTGAAGCTGGAAAACAAAGTCGACTACATGGTTGTGAATGGCTCTGCCACCAACACAACCAATGGTACTAGTGGGAATTTGGTGCCAGTAACCACAAATAAAAGGATAAACGCATCAGGCAGCATTAGATAGCAGTTGAAGATCACCCTGTGCTGCTATGTCCACCGTGGATTATATCCTATTGCAGAAAAGCTTTTGAATTGCTGGCTAGGACAAAAGAATTCTTTTAAAAAGCTCCATGTGTTTTCAAGGAGTGTGCTGGATTCATGGAACTCTTAATTCTGTATATAAAAATTTAAAATGTTATTAGTTTGCTATCAGGCAAGTCTCTTCAATGCTGTAATATATCCTTAAAGGGAATTTGATAACATGGTTAATGTAGTATTAAGCGGATAGGTGATCTTGTATAAATCTTTTGAGTTTGAGGTGAAGCTGAAACAAAAACACTAAAGACATATTTGTTTCTATAAAATATTTATTTACGTATGTAACTTGTTTTTTTCAGACAAGTGGAGAATATTGTTATTGATTCATTCTGTCACTTGTTCTCAGTAGATGTAACTGTTTGACTAAGGCTATTAGAAAACACGTTTTACTTCCAGGACTATATTTTGTTACTAAGATATGAGCAGAGAAAGGAAGTATAATGTTGAAAATGTTTTGAAATCATGACCCAAAGAATGTCTTCATTTGCACTATCCTTCAAAATAACTGAAGGTTAATTATTGTATATTTTTAAAAATTACATTTGTAAGAGTATAATATTGAAATGGGTAGCAGCCACTGTCCATAAGCTATTCTTAACATTGGGGGCAACTTAATAACAACATTAAAATAGTATTCTTTAATCACATACTTAAAATTTTCTTATATATATTCTAAAGAGTAAGAGATATTTTTATGATGAAATTAAAAGTAACTAAAGTATTCATGATTTTTCACATACATGAGTGTTGCTTTAAAAGTTCAATCCCTTAGCTGGGTGCAGTGTCCCATGACTGCAGTCCCAGTTGCTTAGGAGGCTGAGGCTGGAGGATCAAGAGTACAAGGCTGGCCTGGGCAACATAGTAAGACCCTGTCTAAACAAACAACAAACAAAACAAACAGCATTTGACCCCTTAGTATTTATGTGACCGGGATGCATATTATTTCCACGTTTGGATGAGTTTGCTTTTGTTATGTTAGTGGGGAGGAGGATACTCTTGAGGATTTTAATCAGATATGTATAATGAAGGTGTTTGTGCTACATAACACTGCTTAGAAAATGTTAATATTACTTGATGTTATATAAGAGTATCATGCTTTATGAAACCTTTTTGATTAGGTTTTCATTTAATATAAGACCACTTAAAATAATTAAGAATAGTTAAGATATATTTAAATTATAAAAATTGGCTATCCTTTCAGATATTGAATACAGCACAAGAAATACCAATCTAGGGTAATTTTAGTATAGAAAGAAGTACACCTTTATTTAAATTTCCCTTGTAGCAAATCTAATTGCTATATGGTACCCTATATGTCATAGTATTTATTCTCTAAATACCTGCTGAAGTGCAGCTACCTTCTAGATTGAATTTAGTTTTAGATATTGTATTCATTATTATAATGTGCTACCACAAATAGTAGCAATAATTATAATATTTTTGTTTGAGTATGTGTGAGAAAATATTATTTCATGAAAGATGATTTCCATATTGTCTTTTCTGTACCTTTATGTGAAGAAACTAATTATATACAATTGCCAGGTGAAGTGTGGAATAATTGTTCTCTCTGATGAGATGTGGACATTTTTTTTTTGTTTGTTTGTTTTCAGGGATGAAATAAAATATATTATTTGTATTTACAAAGTGTTATACATTTTTAAAGTAGTGGTTATTCACTTAATAAATGGTAAATAAATAAGAGGAATTTTAACATAACTTTGGGTTTTATTTCAATAACACTGGATAACTTTTCAAAAGAGAAAAATTTTAGGTTATCCAATAGTGCCTCTCATTTAATGCTTGGATGGGACACCTAGGAATAAGTCTGGATTGAGATTTAGTGTGGATTCTAAGTTTGTACCCTTACGTTGAAATTTACTGTTGATTTTTTATGAAATTTTTTTATTTGTCTGTGGACCTTTATTTTTTATTTTTTAAATTTATTTGTAGGTGGTGCTGAGAATCGAACCCAGTGCCTCACACATGCTAGGCAAGCACTCCACCACTGCGCCACAAGCCCACCCTTACTGTTGATTTTTTAAGAGTCAATTCTTCATAGTTGGGAGCAGTGGCGCATACCTTGCAATCCCAGTGGCTTCAGAGTCTGAGGAAAGAGGATCTTGAGTTCAGAGCCAGCCTCAGCAATTTAGTGAGGCCCTAAGCAATTCAGAGAGACCCTGTCTCTAAATAAAATATAAAGAAGGGCTGGGGATGTGGCTCCATGCACCTCTGGATTCAATCCTCAGTACCAAAAAAAAAAAAAAAAAAGGCTTCATAATTATATTTTCAGTTAATTTTAGTTAATTGCACCAAGCCGGTCACTGTAAAAGAAAATAAGAAAAGAGGGGACAGGAATGCTATTTTAGGAAGATGGTCAGAGATACCTTCCCTTCCATAGTAACATTTGCGTTAATACATCTGAATTGTATTTGGGAGGGAACTATGAAAATATCTGGGGTGAGTGAGAGTCACAGACAAATATCAAGTTTGAATTTGCTGAGGCAAAACCATGATTGATATGGCCTAGGAAGAAAAAAATCTGCAGAACTGAGCAGGAACAAGAGAGGTGGTTGGCCAAAAAGACTCAGGTCTAAGAAATGCAGCCTGGGGCAATTTAGAGTTGAGTTTAAAGTTCAGTTGAGAACTCCAGATTTTAAGTGGAAATGGTAAGTCAGTAAGAATGTGGCCATTCGGATATCAAAGTAACTGTTATTGTTCTCTTTTGCAGTGCTGGGGATTGAACCCAGGGTCCTGCATATGCTAGGCATGTGTTCTACCACTGAGTGACATCCCCAGCCCAGAGATTGACATTTGTATACTAAAATGTCAACAGTATGTATCCCTGGGCAGAAAGATTTCAGATGTTCTTCCCATTTTGCTTCTCTGATTTTTTTTTTTTAATTTATTCTCAAGCAGTGAGCCCTACCATTCTCCTAACCAATAGTTCTTAACAAAGTTTATCTTTTTTGTACAATATATAAATTCCTTTCCAATTCAGTAAGTATAATGGTTAATCTGTTGTTTGGCTGTATTACATATATCTTTCACTCAATTTTTAAGCATTTTGGTTGCAAATAAAATATTTAGCTTTTTGTGTGAGGGCACCTCTAAAGTCTGACCACTATGCATGTGTTAAGATGCTGGAAGGTAACAATAAAGTGTGATAAATTACCCATTTTGGGGAGACAAACTGGCAAAATGTTACCACTTGAATGGAAAAGTAAGGGCAAGACTGGCATGGTGACACTTATAATCCTAGCATTTTAGGAGGCTGAGGCAGGAGGTGTGTAAATTCAAGAATAACCTTGGCACTGTAGGTAGATCCTGTCTCAAAATAAATGAATAAATAAAAAGGGCTGGGGATATAGCTTAGTGATAGAGCACCCCAGGAACAACTCCCAATAGTGCCCCCCAAAAAGCATAGAAAATCCAAAGTAGGTGACTATCCTCAGACTTTGTTTTAGATCATGAGGAACAGTTCAGAAGGATTTTGCAGCATAAGGAGAAGATAGAATGTTCAGTGGCTTATCTATAATTCGGTTAAAGAGTGAGGAAGGGATTGGGTAGTGGTTAGACTTAAACATATCAATTTTGTCATTTCATAGCTTGTTTTTTTTTGGTGCTGGGTGTTGAACTGATGGCCTTGCATATGCTAAATATGTGCCATTTTACAGCTTTTTTTAATATTTTAAAATATAGTTTAGTGATTAATGGACCTTTATTTTATTTATTGGTATGTGGTGCTGAGAATCGAACCCCGTATCTCTTACATGCTAGGCAAGTACTCTTCCACTGAGCTAAAACCCCAGCCCGGCTACAAAGATTATTTAAATTTTAATGTTTTTTTTTTTTTTATTTTATCAGTTTCTGTATCTTTCAAATATATGTTGAGTGAGTTTAAGACATTAAGTCTGATTAGGTCAAGTGTAATTTCACAGTGCTTTTTTAATATGTGTTAGCAGCATTATTCATTTTAATAAATCACTGTTTATTGTTTTTTATTTATTTTTTATCTTAACTCTTTCTGTGTTGTTGTTGTTTTCTTTTGTAGTATTGAGTATATGAACCCAGGGATGCTCTACTACTGATCTATGTCCCCAGCCCTTTTTATTTTTTATTTTGAGAGTGGATCTAATTTATTTAGGCTGGCCTTAAACTCATGATCCTCGTGCTTCAGCCTTCTGAGTAACTGGGATTACAGATGTGTACCACCATGCCTGGCTCTAGTGCTTCATTTTATCTACCCACCCCCTTTCTTTAATATCTACAAATTTTTTAGGCAATGAAATGAGCTATGGCTCTGAGGAGTCTGTTGGAGGTGAAAGGATTGTTATTATGAAGGCCAGGGGAAAAAAAGGAAACATTATGAATCACTGGTGTGAGAATTATATTCAATTTGAGACATTTTTGTTTGCCTTAAAATAACATTTAATAAGTATTTGAAACGACTGTGATACATGGGAATTGAACATTCCCTAAAGGCTTGTATATTGAAGGCTTGGTCCCCAATATAGCAATAGTCAGAGGTGGGGTGTTGGGATGGGATTGGATCATGAGGATTCTGACCTCATCATGGATTAATCCATTGACAAATTAATAATTTGATGGCATTATTGGCAGCTGGTAGAGACCTTAGGAGATGGGGCCTATTTGGGAAGTGGATCATGGGACATGCCCTGGATAGGATATCTTGTCCCTAGTCTCTTCCTTGCTGCCCCCTGTTCTGCTTCCTGGCTGCCATGAGCTGAGCAGTTTCCCTCCACCACACCCTTCTGCCATGATGTTCTGCCTCACCTAAGCCTCAAAGCAATGGGGCCAATCAACTAGGGACCTCTGAAATCATCAGCCAACATAACTCTTTCCTCCTTGAAGTTGTTTTTCTCAGGTATATGCCAACAGTGAAAAGTTGACTAACATAACTTTATTAAACCTTTTAATTTTTTCTATGAAGAAAAGTATTGAAATGATACATAAAATAAATACTATGTTGAAATTGATTATTTTAAAATACCTTAGGTTTTAGAGTTGAGGTTGGATTTTAAACTTTCATGCTGTAATGATATGACTTTGGGAGAATGTGTATTTTCTAATTCAGAACTTCCAGATCCAAAGCACTGATAATGTCTATCCTTTGTGACTCCATGGGGTTTTTGAAAAATTAAGCACGATATGTCTAAGACCCTGTGAGATCTTAAGAAGATAATATGTGAAAGAAGAACTATCGGATGATTATCTCAATTTTCTAACATAAGGCTTTGCTGAAAGAACGTGTTCAATACTTACTTGTTAATTTAACACAAAAAAAGGCGTCTGAGTAGTAGCATATATGACACAATAGAAAGATGTTTCTTAGTACCATAATTCTCAGACTGTATCACCACACAATTTGTATTTATAACCATAAGTATCACACAGTATACTGTTTGAAATAATGAGCTATACTTTTTTGGTACCAAGGATTGAACCCAGAGTCAGGCTTGCTATTTTGTAACAACTCACTCTCTCAGGGTCCCATGAGAACTACTTTAATCTAATGAAGGCAACACTCCCAATGGTCTAATCGCCTAGCACTAGGTTCTACCTCTTAAGGATACCACCAACTCTGTGCTGCGACACCAAGGCCAAGCTTCCAACACATGAACCCTCAGAGGGCATATTCAAACCATAGCAACCGCTGACTTTTCTGTTTTGTTTATCTCCCTATACCCTGAGATCCTAGTATAATACTTGATATGGAATAGGTAGATGGTAATATTTGTAAGATGAATGGTTATAGGTTGTAGAAACAAGTTCAGTGTAGATCTATGTTCAGTGTTGACTACATCTGCAATAAGATTCAGTTTCCCTAAATATATAAAGAGTAAAATTTGCTAGAGTAAAATAAAATAACTCTTCTTGTGGTTTATATATGAAGTATCCCCCCCTTAAGCCTCATTGTGAGATAAAACAAGAATGTTTAGTGGTGAAATGATTAGGTTATGAGAGCCTTAACCTAATCAATGGGTTAATCCACTGATATAGCTTAACTGGGAGGTAGCTATAGGCAGGTAGAGTATGAATGAATGGAGGAAGTAGGTCACTGGAGGCATGCCTTCAGGGTTTATATTTTGTCCCTGGTTAGTGGAGCTCTGTTTTCTGGCTGTCATGTCCTGAGCTGCTTTCCTTAACCACACCAGTTTGCCTTAGATGTTTTGTCTCACCTGAGGCCCAGTACAATAGGGTTGGCCATCTCAGCACTGAGACCTCTGAAACCATGAGCCAAAATGGACTTTTCCTCCTCTATATTGTTCTTGTTAGGTATTTTGGTGACACAGATGCAGAAGCTGACCAAAACCACCCCATACTAGTCAACTTTTATATATTTGTGTGATTAGTAAGATGAGAGACACTTATGAGAAATTCAAGAAAGTAAATTAAAATACAGACCAAGACTCATTTTAAGAGTCAAAAATTTCTTTAATAAATAAAATCTCAATTTTCAAAGGAATTTTGCAAATTCTTTTGTTGTTCTATCATTTGTATTGTATTGATAGTAATCCAGTTAATTGGGCCATGGTAAGGAGCTTAGAAATGTTTAGGATACATTAAAATTTTTGTTGTGTGGGTAATTACAACAAAACATGATCTGTTTATGAAATAA